CCAATTTGAAATAAGTGTATTTTGAAGAATACGGATTCAATGCATGAAAGTGAAATTTTGGGCAATGTTTGAGAAAGTATTAAGTGACAACTTCTAACCGAATGTTCCAACCTGTACAACCTCCGTAATAAAACAAAGCAACGTCATTTTAAGCTAATTTAATGGCCAAAAAGAACCAAATTAAAAAAAAAATTCCTGCAAAGGGTTACACTCCGAAAAAAAATTCTTGCGAAGGCAATCGGCTAGGAAAATAAAACCGGGCGAGCCAAAAGTTACCCAGCACCACCTCTCATCACTTTTCTAATGACCCGTCCCTTACAAAGTTGTGACTTAAGGATGAGTAAATGGCAATTCACAGTAGTCTCTCTCTTTGGGGAATCTTCCCTGTATAGCGATCAACAGGCTTGTGCTTGTCCAAATCGCTATCGCCAATGCATTCACAATTGCAACAGTTATGTGCCTTTTCCATTGCCTTCGCCAGACTGCCATAATTGGCCTGTTCTGATATCGAGTCTCGATAGCTATACTTAAACACGTGAAGAACCACTCTATAACCAGTGGAACTGTTGTGGTGATCGCAAACGACTGAACCAACTCCAGTACTGTTTTGCCGTCAGTGTAAAAATATTCATGCAAGTGAAGAAAGCCGTTCATGGAGATAACAGCGCTCGCCTCACACAGCATACTCATTATGGCGATGTCTGTCGCTAATCTCTCACGTCGAGGAGTGCGAAAACTTCTCCAAGAAATGCGTCGTCTTTCACAAACCTGATGGTTAATGTAATCAATCAATACAACGATGCTTCTCTCTATAACCTCTGCAATACCATGGATTATTCCGATCAAAGCCACGGATTTTAAAGTATTCAGATCCACTTGCAAAACTCTTAACATGACAGCCGACCCATAATAGAGCGGCACCGGCAAGCAACAGAAATGACGTTCCTGGATGACTTATTCTCCATAAACGCTGCACACAAAGGCGTGATGAACCTTTCAAAACAACCGTTATCAGAGGGGTGAACACAGCAATATAGATTTTACCTGTTTTGTCTTGCTTGTTATACGCTGGATAAATGAAGTAAGAAACCAGTATAGCTACAGTAAAAGTCAAAGCGCAAGATCCTATCATCCACAGAAACGTTAGTTTTCTTGGTCCGACGACAGCTCGAAAAAAATGCCTAGCAAGAACCCAGGATTGCACGCCGATACTAAACGAAAATAAAACATTTCCAGGGATTCTTTGCACACGCGTTAACTGTGATGAAGAAATACCGAGGGCCTGAAGAGCAATGCGATAAGCAGCATCTAAAACGCAAAAAAAGACCGATACCAGGAAAAGTTTCCTTTTCAGTCCTATGATTTGATAGGATCTAAAGAAAAATAAAGTATTAGCAAAAAACCAAAGATGATCAAAAATGATTGCTATGCACACAGAAATGGTTTTCGACCACTGGATGTTTGCTGGTACGGAGTCCTTCGGTCGAGCCAGGCAAACCAATATGACTTGATAGGCAACATAATACACAAAAATAGAGGACGTTCCAATCAGGGTCGCAGCCAATATGGAAATAAGGAAACCAAAGTGCATTGAATGCCAAAGTGTACGTATTTTCGAAGGTCTGAATTTCTTCCATTCCATTGCGCTTTTTTCTTGTTCATCCTGTAAGTCATCATTGTCTTCTGTTGAGCAGGCGTCTGTAATGCGTTGAACAGCACTTCTGCGGACTTCTCTGTCACCGTACTCTTGGAAAATAAATTCGTCAACGGGATGACTGTTCCATTCTAAGCCCGTGTTTTCCATAGGATGAAAACCGAAAGTTTCTGGATCAAACTCGACGCAGTTTGGGTCGTAATGTTCAGCTACACTGCGTGTCAATCCAAAAATTATACTTCCACATACTTCCACGAGAGCACTTCCAACCATTTTTGATGCCGGTCAGATCAAAATATCAAGGCTGGTTAGAGTTTACGATTGAATCACGTCTAATTAATCGTATACCGTAGTTTCAGCAGTTGAGGCGGTTTCACTTAAGGTTTCAAGCAGTTGTAAAGGATGTTTATGATGCAATCACGATGCAAAAAAGGTTTCCAACAATGAACGAAGTAGTTGCTGTCTTTTGAGACAAAAGTCGCTTTTCTTAAGTTTTAAATACTAGATTGTACATTGAAGTCGGTCACGGAACTTCCTAGTGGACGAGGGTCACATACTGGTGTGTTTGTATAGTTATTGCAAAGCCGGCAAAACCGAAATGAAATGTCAAAAACTTCTGACAACTCGTAAGTCTTAAGAAGAGCTAGTGATGTGCAAGGTGATCGTTTGCTAATTATCTGAGAGCATTTGGTGAGAAAATGTGTCATTTATTCTTCTTTTAAGTGTCATTCGTTCTTAATAGTAACTTCAAAAAAATAGGCAAAAAAATTTAGGCATGTTACCGTTTCAGCTTCAATCATCTACCATTCACATAAAACGGTACTGCATGCTTGTTAATAAGAGTATTTATCAATTTTTCTGAACTAGAGGTAAATGTCTTACTGCGAATGCAGTTCACAACAGAAACGATGTTATTTTCATCCGGTATTCTGCACCAAATACAATAATGAAGGGCTACTAATGACACAAATCAAAATCAAAAAAAATTTTTCCAATGTCATATTCAGTAATATCACATCTAACGATATTGTCGAAAAGAATAAGAAGAATACAGAAGTAGCTAGAAGGGAGCCTTATTATGACAAGAAACGAATTATTTCTGTTAACATATTTGACAAGGTATAAAAACGGGATTTTATAGAAATAATGGTGTTGCATCGTATCACAAGAATGTGCCTAAGACAGAAAAAGGATAATACGGAAGTCACTAACTTAAACGATCGAAGGATATTTGACCGGACTGTGAATGCTAACGCATTCTTGACCTTGTAAGAATAACTCTTCTATAAAGATCTCTGCTTATTATTAAAGCTTTGGAACTTTTGACTGTGTATGGCAACAATTTCTTTATTTCTAGACATTAGGAGAAACAGTGGAAAGCTTCAATGCTTTAATATTAAGACACTTTAAGACAATATTTATTCATACAGTTACATACTTTGACGCATATATGTTACTGTTACCTATGTAGCACCAACCAGTTTTGGACAATGTTTTTTTGATTTTTCCATTTCCCCTATTCTCAGTTCTTTTATCACGTAACTAATAACAGTTTTTACAATTATCCTATAGTTTTTAGCCATGTAAATAGTTGATATAGTCTTGATTATTTTGTTTTAACTAATTTAATTGTATTTCTCTTTTAAAACAGACGCATTAGCTACTTAAGCTAAATGCTTAGCAAGCTCGTTTCGAGTATAAATAAATAATGTGTATGGGAGCATACAGTTCAAACATCACTCTGCATAGAATGGATCAGGAATGATAGGACGGATAATTATTCTTGCACTACTAATTTCGGAACAAACTAAACCTTGTTAAAAGATTATAATTTCACTTTCTAGTGATAAACTGAGGTAAATATTAAAAACGTTACAGACTTAATGACACTGTATTTCGTTTTCAGAGTCCTGAACTAAGACATTAGGATAAGCTTTGAGTTCCCAAATATAATAGTCCAGTTTCGAGTTCGCTGTGACCGTTGAATTAAAGAAGTGAAGACGCACTTTTACAGGCTTATCCTCCATTAAAGGAGCTGTGTCACAAAATTCAGCCAAATTAGGAAATTACAAAATGCCCGTTAAATTAAGAGCGACTTTCTGTAAATACCACGGATAGGTGTGCAAGATGGAAAAATCGAAATCTCCCAAACTTTGTCACATTAAAGCCCTTATGAAACTATTTTAGAAAATACAAGATTCAGTTTCTTGTGATTGATATTTTTCAAAATAATAATTTTTTTGAATTTTCACCTCCGAGAGGCCCTCAAACCACCGAAAAATGCGCTTCGCATCCTCGCATGATGAATAGAAACGGAAACAAATACCATGACTATTGCGATATAAGATGATTTTATGACCCTTCCTTTGTATGAAAACGTTGCTATAATTTCAAAAGATTCCAGTCTGAATTTTTAATTATTTTTCAAAATCACCCTCTTAAACAGTTTTATCGCGACTATCAATTTTGCCATTTTTCAACGGCAAAAAACCCTTCCTGGTACACGGCTTTCGTTCTGCAAATGCTATTCCAGAGAAAGAGCAATCCTTCTTCTTTCAATTTATGAAATAAAATTTTGGGGCAATTCAAACGGCAAGTTTTGAGAACTGAAAACATTAACGGTACTTGCGTGAAATTTACAACTTTTGAACTTGCGGTTGTAATGACGAATACAAGAGTAAAGTTGGACAGCAGTTTAAATTCTTCGCGAATTTGATCCTTTTCCACCAGTTCAAAAACTAAACAAACGATTATTGACTTCATAGTGGCAATTATCCGAAAGGAACAGCATTTTTATTGTGCGAAATTGAGCTGTAAACATCTTGACAACACTTCCCGTACGTGCGTATTTGTTTACTTTGAAGCCTGACGACTTGTGCCAGTCATTATCGTAATATTCTATAAATAAAAAGTATGCATCAAAATGTTCGCATTTCGTCTGAAAGAAATCGTAAAAGCAAAGACGGAAGAATAAGACAAACATTTACTCACCTCGAATATATATATTTTTGAAAAAAGACCAAAGCCCCGCAGCTAAATTAGATTGCGTGACATTCTCTTTGACTAGAACAAGTAAGAAGGGGTGGGGGTTGGGGTTGGGGTTGGGTCCAAGGCAGACAAAACGTTCCCCAGTACTTCTGATTGACAATGCATTCTGAGCCATAATCGCTAAGAAAAAGCTGTGTAGGCTTTCCAATAAAAATAATAATAATAAACTTGAGAGCAGGAGCCGATCTCTTGTTGGGAATTTAAAAAAATCCCCAAATCCCAACCCCTCCCCCTCCCAGTAGTTACTTATTGCCTGGCACAAAATAGTGCAGTTTCGAATTAATCGCGGCCGCTGAATAGAAGCACTGAAGACTCATTTATACAGGGTTAGCGTCGGCCTAAAGTAAAATATTCACAAATACCAGCTAGAAGGTGCCGGAATTTCAGTATAAAACAATAGAAACAGTTGTATACAAGTCTTCTTCTGACTGGAATTTGTGAATATATATATTTACCTTTGATCGAGGTTAACCCTGTACAAATGAATGAACGCCTGGGAAGAAATAAGTGATGGAATAAGGATCTGAAGGAATTTTCCGGGAAGGGATCCTGGCAGGCACAATTTTGAGCATCATACCATAACTGGGGCATCAGGAATAATGTTCGATACTGCAGTAGAAATATACAAAGTTGATAAAAGTCGTAGGCCTGATTTCCCGCCACTTATCAGTTTTTTTCTTTGGAAAGTAAAATCAAAGAATGTTGAGGCTGGAATGTTAATTTGATTAGTCGGTACAGACCCTAACTGTTATGACAACTGCATGCCACGCGAAGTTCCCCAAGTAGAGACAAGTAAGGAGCTTTGCGTCGTCCTTTGATGTTCATCACTTCGATGTCAAAATGTTCGCAAATGGAACGCAGCATGGAAACACTTAGGTGTCGCAGTTTACCTGCCTTGTGCATGTCACATAGGTTGAAAGTGTCGAAAACAATTGGGTGCCTTATTCCCACCTCCTCTAACACAACTGCGCGAACATTTTCGTGCGCGATATCCTCTTCAGCGGCCATAATATCCTCGTCTTGATCAGATTCTGGATCTTCTGAATGAGAATGCCGGAGTTTAGAGGCTCGTCTTGAAAAGTATGACTGAATTTGCTGTTCGGTCAAAAATTCACTTACAGTGAACAGCTTTTCCCCTTCCTGGTTTCGCGCGTAACGCATGTCACGTGCAACATCCACAGGATCAAGTTTCACTCCTGTTGCTTGCCCGACGTTAAATTTCCCGTCTAAGTACTGTCACTGGGAATCACTAAACCGTGTTGCCTTTCTAGCGGATCTTAAAGCCCACCCTTGTGGAAGAACCTTAGTTGTTACCGGGCATTGACTTGACTCAGCTTTCTAGTGAGTCCTCTAACACGTTCTTCTGGAGAGAAGTCCGCACTTTGATAAAAAAAATTGTTAAATTTAAAAGTTGTTTTTTCGTGCCGCTAGTTTGAGGCTACAAATGTTTTTTTGCTTTTTTCTTGCTTTGTTTTGTTTTTGCTTTTTTTCTGAGCTTCCCGGTCCCTTCAGTTCCACACCCGAGATTTGAAAAGCAACTATAATATACCGACTGTTAAGTTAGCCTAGATATATCGTTCTTTTAACCGCACAACTTGACCCTGGTATAATTTAACTTACAACGTCAAGTCGCGGCTCTCCTGGACTTGAGGAAGTGGATTCTGGCTCTTCGCAATCCTTGTCTCCACGTGTTTCATCTTGGGATTTAGGCGCTGTTAATGTTACCTCATCGTCTTCCCTTTGAATGCTTAGTCTTGTTCGACATTGTTTGCATATAGTTAACATTGGAATAAACAGATTAACTGTCTGTCATTATTTAGCCTTAACCAGTATAGATAATAGTCTAGAATTGCCTACTCCAAATTTCTCCTCGACAATTAATTTAAAAAAAAAAACAAGAAAGAATTTTGTGAGAAAAGAAATAAAAGAAATCATTCAATTGCACTAACGGCATGCATCAGCAGTCTTAAAACATTTATTAGAACACGATGAAAAAGTGATTCTTCTTTAAAATTGTTGGACAGGTTATTACAGCCTAAACGTCGCGTGGATCATAGCAGTAGTACTTACGAGAACCCACGGGCAATATAATTTGAGTCTGGATATACAGGTTTCTCGACTGAGCCATGTTTATCCCTCGATCTCCTTTCTGGTTCTTTTCATGCTGTTTCCACTTGTCTGGACAAGAATAGTTCTTCTTGTTCAGTTACGCCATCTTATTTCCCAAAGGTCCCGGTGACGAGGACATATCGTTGTGTTCAAATGCACCTCATCCATTTCAAAGCAACCTTGCAAAAGATATTTTAATGTTTACTTAACCGCTTGGCTAGGGCCAGGGTAAAGTTTGGTTAGGCATAGAGTTAGTCCTAGATCCCTAGGATTTGTCGCAACAGCATAGCGGGCAATGATGCGGAGTAAAATTGTATTGTTGGATGCTTCGGCGTGTGTTTCTGACATCATACGCGCGCACATTATTATTTTGCTCCCCAGTGCAAATTGGTCCCCTTGGTCATGTCAGGAGCCTATGACACCATGTTCGGTTGTCCGCCACCGGTCCAAACCCCTGGGAGACTCTAGGGGAGGCAGGAAATTTGTCCCACCTAGGCCCTTCGTAAGCGACATCTCAACCAACCTCGTCCCCAGGGCTGTTAGGTTGACTTCTAAACTAGTTTTGCAGTTTTTTGTATGATCAAAACGTTATTGTATAACGCCGGTGTAAAAGTGAGATGCTTTCGGTTCTTTTCGTCGGGAAAGAGTGTGCCAGTACTTATACGTAAAGGACTTTACGCTCATCACGTCATCTCTAGTTACAGGGAATTGTTGCGATGAACAATTGTTTGAAAGCACCCAGTATTCTATGGTGCTTTCTATGCGGGGAGGCTCCACCCGAAAGGGGTAGCCTTTTCAAACGCTTTAGGGATTAGGGGTCTCACAAGTTCAAGATGAAAGTAGTGAACGGCTAAGGAAATCTGTCATTAAGTTTAATTTAGTTTTATTTAATATTTCCTTGAGAGGTGCAGCGCAGAGGTACATTTTTATCAAAATTGGCGTATCAAAAGGTAAGGACAAGACGTCGGGCCTCCTCGTACAACACTTTGATGAGTACCCCCCCCCCCCCTAGCAGTTTTCGACTTTACGCGATATTTTGGCGCCACAAATCTGACACAGAATTACAGCAGAAGAAAACACTGACCTGCTCTGGCCAAGAGTAACCTTGCTTCATCCAAGGTAGAGTCCTTACATTTGTGAGCTTCAGATGGCCTTGAATATCCTTACCACATTCTCCAATTAAAGCGCACTCAACATTTGCAGGATTGGAAACACTTGGACCACACGCCCCTCCAACGAGTTTCGAATAACTACAGGTAGCCATTAACTACTCACTTTAACTATTCACTTACACGAATGGAAATATAAAACATCAAGCGAAACTACAAGCGAAGATCCGTTAAGACTTCATTGTATAATGTTCTCACGTTCGCGGTGGAAAATGAAATTGTCGTACACTGAGCCACGATGGCTCGCCATCGCTTCCTGACGTAATGCACGTGCCAAGGTACATTGGCAATTTTAATACTACTTCAGTCAAACATAAATCTTTCAAACACGAAGAAAATCTTTCTTATTGGTTTTATTGGCTGTATTAGTTTGTGTTATAATTAATTATGAAGCGGTTATAAGTTTGTAGATTGAATACGAATTAGAACAGAGATCGGGTATTTACATTCCCCGATGAGAAAGTAAACAAAAATGTATCGACGCGTCTGGAATATATTTCTAAAAAGAAGGAAGGAACTTTTCGGCGTAAACTGAAGGAAAGACAGTACACAATAAAAAGTAACCAGTCTTCTTTTAATAGCTAAGGAAAAAGGCCGCATTATTAGTAAAATTGCAACTGCGGTCCAACTTTACTCTTGTATTCGTCATTACAACCGCAAGTTCAAAAGTTGTAAATTTCACGCAAGTACCGTTAATGTTTTCAGTTCTCAAAACTTGCCGTTTGAATTGCCCCAAAACTTTATTTCATAAATTGAAAGAAGAAGGATTGCTCTTTCTCTGGAATAGCATTTGCAGAACGAAAGCCATATACCAGGAAGGGTTTTTTGCCGTTGAAAAATGGCAAAATTGATAGTCGCGATAAAACTGTTTAAGAGGGTGATTTTGAAAAATAATTAAAAATTCAGACTGAGATCGTTTGAAATTATAACAACGTTTTCATACAAAGGAAGGGTCATAAGATCATCTTATATCGCAATAGTCGTGGTATTTGTTTCTGTTTCAATTCACAAAGCGAGGATGCGAAGCGCATTTTTCGGTGGTTCGAGGGCCTCTCGGAGGTGAAATTTCAAGAAACTTATTATTTTGGAAAATATCAATCACAAGAAACTGAATCTTGTATTTTCTAAAATAGTTTCATAAGGGCTTTAATGTGACAAAGTTTGGGAGATTTCGATCTTTCCATCTTGCACACCTATCCGTGGTATTTACAGAAAGTCGCTCTTAAGGACGAGTAAATGGTAATTCACAGTAGTCTCTCTCTTTGGGGAATCTTCCCTTTATAGCGATCAACAGGCTTGTGCTTGTCCAAATCGCTATCGGCAATGCATTCACAATTGCAACAAGTAAGTGCCTTTTCCATTGCCTTCGCCAAACTGCCATAATAGGCCTGTTCTGATACCGAGTCTCGATAGCTATACTTAAACACGTGAAGAACCACTCTATAACCAGTGGAACTGCTCTAGTGATCGCAAACGACTGAAGTAATTCCAGTGCTGTTTTGCCGTCCGTATAAAAATATTCATGCAAGTGAAGAAAGCCGTTCACGGAGATAACAGCGCTCGCCTCACACAGCATACTCAATATGGCGACATCTGTCGCCAGTCTCTCACGTCGAGGAGTGCGAAAACTTCTCCAAGAACTGCATTGTCTTTCATAAATCTGATGGTAAATGTAGTCAATTAATACAATGACGCTTCTTTCTATAACCTCTGCAATACCATGGATTATTCCGATCAAAGCCACGGATTTTAAAGTATTCAGATCCACTTGCAAAACTCTTAACATGACGGCCGACCCATAATAGAGAGGCACAAGCAACAGAAATGACCTTCCGGGATGACTTATTCTCCATAAACGCTGCACACAAAGGCGTGATGAACCTTTCAAAACAACCGTAATCAGCGGGGAAAACACAGCAATATAGATTTTACCTGTTTTGTCCTGCCTGTTATACGCTGGATATATGAAGTGAGCAACTAAGATACCCACAGTAAACGTAAAGGCGCAAGATCCTATCATCCAAAGAAATACTGTCAGTTTCCTCGGTCCGACAGGTCGACAAAAATGCCTAGCAAGAACTCAAGATTGCACGCCGACACTAAACGAAAATAAAACATTTCCAGGGATTCTTTGTACAGGTGTCAACTCTGATCGAGAAATACCGAGGGCCTGAAGAGCAATGCGATAAGCAGCATCTAAAACATAGAAAACGAACGATATCAGGAAAAGCTTACTTTTCAGTCCCATGATTTGATAGGATCTAAAGAAAAATAAGGCATTAAAAAAAAAACCAAAGATGAGTAAAAATGATTTCCAAGCTCTCAGAAATGGTTTTCGACCATTGGATTTTTGATGGTATGGAGTCCTTCGGTCGAGCCAGGCAAACTAATGTGACTTGATAAGCAACGTAATACACAAGGATAGAGAACGTTCCAATCAATGTCGCAGCCAATATGGAAATAACAAAACCAAAGTACATCGAATACCAAAGTGTTCGTATTTTCGAAGGCCTGAATTTCTTCCACTCCATTGCGCTGTTTTCTTGTTCATCCTGTAAGTCATCATGGTCTTCCGGCGAGCAAGCGTCTGTAATGCGTTGACCAGCACTTCCGCGGACTTCTTTGTCACCGTACTCTTGGAAAATAAGCTCGTCAACGGGATGACTGTTCCACTCTAAGCCTGTGCTTTCTAGACGATGAAAACCGAATGTTCCTGGATCAAACTCGACGCAATTTGGGTCGTAATGTTCAGCTACACTGCGTGTCAGTCCGAAAATTACACTTCCACACAATTCAATGAGAGCACTTCCAACCATTTTTGATGCCAGTTAAAATATCAAGGCTGATCAAGTTACGATTGAATCACACCTAATTAATCACGTACTTAAGTTAGGGGCTTAGCAAGCTCCATGTTTTCTAGAATAAATCAAGTATGAGTATGAGTATTCATATATTGCTCTTGGAAAAAAATGGATCAGGACGTTGCTTAACGTTGTTGCAGTACGAGTTCGGAACTGACAAACTAAGTGATAAACTGAGGTAAATTTTTATAAATGTTACAGACCTGCCCACTGTCAAGAACTGACACATGCAAATAAGTTTTGAGGTCCCCGCCAAGGGGCTAATTAAAAACACCTATCGTACCCTATATTGAGTGCTTTAAGCCTTGACTTAATTAGACGCTCAGGACAAACAAACTATGATGCCGTTTTCTAGGTTCATGTGCGACCAGTCTACTGCATGTAGTGCTAGTATAAATAATTTTGAAATGATGAAATGACTGACAAGTGAAATATCCTCTATTTATAATATTAGAAGTGTATGACGTGCGATTTATTAAATGAATCTAAGGGGTAGTTTGTTTCTCGATGGAAGAAAAGTATCAGTTTCCATATAATAATCATTCGATTCACTTATGTTCCGAGTAGTCTGTTTCCGAAAATCTGCATACTAAAGAGGAAGGGCGCCGAAACGTGCCTTCGTGCCACCGAAGGGTGCCTCAGGCCGGTTCAGAATTTCCGCCTACTCTTTCTTTTCCCGTCACGACAAACTGGTTGTTGCAATACGAATTTCGGAACAAACTAAGCCTTGTTAAAACATTATAATTTTCTTTTCTTGTGATAAACTCATGTAAATTTTATAAACTTTCCACGCCATGACCACAGTATTTCGTTTTTAGAGTTCAGAACTGACACATGCAGACTGAAGCTTTGAGTCACGGCCAAAAGGCTAATTGAAGACTCCTATCGGACCTTTTGAGTGCTTTAAGCCTTCACTTACTGTAAGTCACGGCTTGAAGCACTCAATAGGTCCGATAGGAATCTTTAATTAGCCCTTTGGCCTGGACTCAAAGCTTATTTGGATGTCTCAGGCGCAGAACGAACTATGAAGCCGTTTGCTAGCTTCTACTGCAGGTAGTGCTAGTGACATAATTCTGAAATGATGAAATGATTGACAACTGAAATATTTGTACTACCTTATTATAGGAAATTAACGCTCCATGAAATTAAGGTACTGGAAATTAACGCGACTTAAATTAACGCGAATTCAATGGCAAACGACTTTCGAATAAAGAAAATTAACGCGAAAGAGGAGGTAGAATCTCATAATAAAGGAAATTAACGCGATTAAGACACAGTTGGTGGTGACGGTGACGATTCGAAATCTATCTTGGCCGAAATCAAAGGAGAAGATATTGACATCACTTCTGGCAGCGACAACGATGAAGATGAACTCGAAATATTGTAAACCTTCGCCTTAGCTTTTGTGAAAGATGAAAAAAAAAAGGGTAAATGGAAAGAAAGAAAGCTTGTAGTTAATGTTTTTTAGGTGTCAAGAATGTCTGGACAGGTTCCAAAATTGGGGTCAAAATAATGGAAATTAAGAGCGCGGAAATTAACGCTGCCCTTAATTAACGTCTTGGAAATAAACGCTCAACAAAATTAACGCGAATTTGAACGATTCGCGTTAATTTCATGGAGCGTTAATTTGCTATAATACGGTATAACAAGTGTATGACATGCTCTGCTCTGTGATTTTATTAACATGAATCTGAGCGGTAGTTTGTTTCCCGGTGGAAATGAAGAAAAGTGTCAGTTTCCAAACAATACTTATTCGCTTCACTTTTGTTCCGAGTGGCCTAGCTGTTTTCGAAATTCTGCATACTAAAGAGGAAGGAAGCCGAAACTGCCTCGGGCCGTTTCTGTAGAACTCTGTACTAGTTAAATCTTCTTGCTGCAAATGCCTATGCGAGCTCTTATCCTCGTGATAGGCCCTCATCAAGGTAATAAGGCACTCTTGTCCCCTTTCATCCAATAGGAAGTTTCCAGTTCTGGAGAAAAAGGGAATGCGTGCAAACCCCTTTCTTTTCTTTTCCCGTCCTCCTTCGAACTACGCATTGACATTGTGGTGCACTCAAATCACTTTTACGTATAATATTGAAGCAAAAGTCAGGACGTTCTCTCAGAACACAGAATCAGTAACTTAACGCTTACAAGTGTCCGTTTAATACGGGTTGGCAACAATAGAAATGACCATTTCAGGTACTTTTTAGGTGTCCGCGTCCCCTTAATAGAGGTGTCCGCTTAATAAAGGTTTCATTTAAAGTAAATAACGGAAATAAATTTGGGGACTTCGGCTACTGTCTGCTTAATAGAGGGTGTCCGCTTAATACAGGTTTCACTGTAGTGCTTTCAATCTAAAGTGGCGCTATCCAGGTCGCCAAGGAGTAATTTACACAAGCTGACTAAAACGCTTCTCAGACATTAAGGAAAAAGCACTTTATAAATGAGAGCGATTACTGTTGCGCGCGTAGCGTGCAGCAGACCTTTTTCACTCAGATACCAGTTTGATTGTCGACGTTTGTTAGTGAAACACCAGCCGCACTTTTCCTCGCTTTCGTGTGGATCCGCAACACAGCTGACCATTTCAACGTTGGCTCAAGCACGTGCTTTCCCTTCAGCGTCCTTTTGCGAATTTCACAACCCACAATCTAGAGAGACTTGACATTTTGTGTTGTAATAATTTGTACGGCTTTGCTACCGTGTTTCTAAAGGAGTTGTTCGTTTTTTTTTTTCTTCAAAATATCATTGATTTATAATCATTGTTGACTGCAAATCATGCGAAACGAGCGACATAAAGTGACTTACAGACCAAATCACGAGTCAAGCCGATTTTCTCTGATGTGTGACAAACAAACTGAACTGAGCGAATGTGTTCGGTGGCCTGCAATATTTTCTCCAAAAATTAAGAACTAATGATAACTAAACCCTCTGCTCGCTGCACTTCACCTTCCAAAACTAGTTATAAAAAATACAAAAAGCAGCAATTTTAGGGTACGAATAATTAGCATTTATGCAATGTCAAGTTTCCCTATTCTATGTAGTGATCACAAGGAGAGACTTAACGTTTAATGAATTTCATTTCTCCTTTAACTCCTGTTCGTGAACTTAAATTCAGAATTATTCTCATCATCATTATTATCATTAACATAGTTATCATTACTATATGGGTGATAAGAAATGGTGATACCGTATGAGGCTCTTAAGTTTTACATCATTAAATTATCTTTCTAACTAGTAGTACTTTTGAACAACGAGGACCATACAGTTCAGCAAAAACAATGAATTCCTTTCATTTTTACATATAGGAACCATGAGAAGACGAGGTTTTGTTATTGAAATAAGGGTGCTGAAAAACAACAGTGATGTACAATAGTGATATTTAAATTAACATCGACGTAAATTAAGACACATAAGATTAACGCTAGTTTTTTTAAAAATCGCGTTCAAGATAAAGTGCATCGTTAATTTCCTGTAATAAGGTAGTTTAGCTTTAGCCGGTACAAACCCCAGCGAAATGCTAACCTTAACCGAACAGCTGACAGAGGCTGAACTGCAGGTTTAACATGTGAACGGATTTTACTTACGTATGTTTTGCACTTAAGCTGGAATGACGACAAAATTCGTAAAATACACACCCTGTTTAGGACAACACCCTCAATTTTATTACCCCGTTTAGGAGAAAAGACAAAATGGCCGACGTTTTGTTTTAAAGCTATTAACTATTGACAATTGAAATAGAACAAATTTACTTTATAGTCATTGCTTTTGTAAACTTAAAGTCTATAAAAAAATTTCATCAAGCAAATCAAATCAATCGTGCAGGCCGGATACCCTGTTTATAATTAGGACAGGATCCCACGAAATTTACAGAGAGTGAAAAAACGGACCATACGGCCTTTTCAGCGGCTCATCCCTGTTTAGTCGGCATAAGGGAGCGCACCCTCGGGTATTAAAATAAAGAATAAGACATTAAGAATAAGAAAAATACTGAATCAATGCATGAAAGTGAAAGTTTGGCCCCTGTTTGAGAAAGTATTAAATAGCGACGAGTTCTAACCGGATGTTCTAAAAACTTAAGGATAGGAAAAGACGGCCCTCCAGCACCCAATACCTTTCACATGTTGTTTACTATGTTCGAAAGCGTAACCAACTACAGCTTGTAATGTATTAAGTTAAA